TATGAGTATGAGTATTAGTATTAGTACTGGTATTAGTAGTAGTAGTAGTAGTAGTAGTAGTAGCAAGAAGAAGTAGTAGTAGTAGTAGTAGTAGTACTACTACTACTACTACTACTACTACTACTGCTACTACTTCTTTTGCGGCTTTTGCAGCGGCTGCTGCTGCTGCTGCTGCTACAAAACTAGGGTCTAGGTGTTTGTAGTAAAATCAGCCATACCGGCACTCCATGTTTCACAAGTAGACTAGACATCATCGCAAGGATGTTCACGACAACCGTCAAAATTCAAGTGCAGCACATGGAAAGGTAACAGTTTTACCCAATCTGGTGACAAGGATCATGAAGATGATAGTTATACCAGACCCTACGAGAACCAGCATCCTCGTCGACGTTTCAATTTGTCCGGGGAGTGCTTTGTCACAAACTTGCGTCTCTGCCCATCTCAGCATGCTCGAAACTCGAAAGGTCTGGGGTTGTGCACGGAGGCTTCTTGAGATTCTTGAGGATCCAGAGTCCTATGTGTTTCTGGTGTGCCAGGATCATCCAGTATCTCACCCAAAGGAGTTGGAGTTGGGATTGTGGGTGAGAGGAGGCCAAGGAGGTCTTTGCGGGGAGGCGTTTGGGCTGAGCTGGGCCAAGACCGAGAGGTGGCAAGATTCCAACCTGCTGGGCACGCAGGGTGTTCATGTCCATGCTCTCAAAGTTAACGTTCACAGCTTTCAGACGAGTTTAGAAACAACTCGTCTGATCGCGCTTCAGGATCTAATTGGATCCGCATGACGAATTGCTTGAACAAACGCTCACAGCGAATTGAGGATCCACGCCTGCAGATACTGCCAGACTGCTGAGACCGCACCTGGAGCCTTCGGACCGCTGTGGCACCGGCATCCTCAAGGAAGATGTTTCAGCAGCGGAAATCCTATGGCAGATTATCTTCAGCCCCCTTGCCTTAGCGCAGTGACCTTGCTAATCCCTGTAGCCTGCCTGAAGCTTGACTGGCATCTCGATCCCGGGCCTTTGTTTGCCATGGCGAGTCAGCGTGCCGCATCAAAGAGGAAAGCCAAACAAGGAGCCCTGATGACAGAGACGTCTCCCTCGGTCGTGAGTGGAAAGCACCATTGCCCATGCTTGCGTTCTGCTTTGTCGGCCATGTACGCTGTGTGTTGTAAACATGTAAACTGAAAGATGCCTGTTGAATTGAATAGCTGCATACCTGTACGAGTGTGTATCTGTTATATATAATTACGTACATACTTAAGTAATTACATAGATACATATACCTAACCTACCTACCTACCTACCTACCTACCTACCTACCTACCTACCTACCTACCTACCTACCTACCTACCTACATTCATACGTACATATATATATATATATATGCACACATGCATATGTATGTGTGGGTGTGTATATACACACACATGTATGCGAAAGCATGCAAAACAGTATACACCCGAGGGAGGTTTCAGAAAAAGTTCCTCCAGGACAGAACGCAGCCGCTGCCAACCCCGAGAAGGACAACTTGCCCGAAGAGAGGTTGGTGGGGGCCATGCGCTAAGCTCCGAGTAGAACGTGCCCTGAGAGATCTCACTGCTGAGGTGCAGAGTTCAGGATTCAGATTTCGGCTTCGAGTTCGGGGGGCTTTCTAGCTGACGCCCTGTCTTTGGCCGAGATCCTGGACCAAGTGGTTCAAGGAGTTCTGAAGGCCGCGGGCTTGGAAGTGGATGTTACGTGTCGCGCTGAAGGGAGTCGTTGGGGATTGCAGGTTGCAGTTCCCGCCTTGAGCTCGGACAGCACAACACTTTCACATCATCATGTTACTGCTTGCCCACAAGCTGTGCAACCCTGCTTGCATATCTACACTGTTACACGTCTCCAACCTGCTTCGCGTCGCCTTGTCGCAATGCAGCGACTTGAGGGCGGTGGATTCCGCAATGTAATGACTAGCCCGTGCCGCGCTTGCATGCTTTTTTCCAGAGTATAAGGCAGGACTGTCAGATCCAATCGCACCGATGCGAGACGGCAAAGCTTTCTGCAGGCACCTCCTCCAACAGCTGCCGGAGTGCCGCAAACAGTCATGGAGGACAGGGCGGGTTGGAAGTTGTGCGTTGTGGCTAGGGCGCCAGGCTCATAAACAGCCCAGGGACCCAGTAACACAGATTTCACAGAATCCTAAATCCTAGTCAGGTTCTTTGCGGCCTCCACCCGCGATACCGCGACTGGGCGGAGTTCCGTGCCATGAAGGCAGGTCCCTGACGTCTCCAAGCCAGAGCTATCCGAAACCAAACCGAAATCCTCGCAAATGGTGACCTCAGTGATGGTCGGAGGCCTCCGAAGTAAGGACTCCCCAAAGGGCCGTTATTTAGAACGTGGCCTGGCCTCAGAACAAAGTTAGAAGCAAAACACTTCCAGCGCCGGTTCGGGGCGTCATATGTGTATTCATGGCCTGTCCTTACCCTCTTACTCGGTCTTGTTGATCCTTTATCGGTAAAACCTTTGGGGCACTTCCAGAACACTGTGGCTGTTTTTGCCATTGCCGAAGGGCCCCGAAGCCGTCCGTGTAGAACTGTCTGGCAGTGGCTTCGATACTTCCCAACAAGGTTTCCTGTAAGCGGTCACAGAGAAGAGGGCAGGGGAGATTTTTGGCTCTGGCCTGGCTTTCAATGTTTTGTTTTCAAGTTCAAAAGGGGCTGTGTTTCGACCGATATCAGGTTGCAGGGTCTTTGCACTTCCTAGCGGAAAGGAGAGATGGGAAGAATTGGATCATACAGATGCTTCTGATGGATTCATGATGACGATGCCGATGATGATGATGATGATGATGCTAATGTAGATGTTGATGATCTCCAGAAGCATGAGAAGACTACTCTGATGGGTGGTATCAGCAACTAGACGGACCCTGCTCTGTTTATTGTCACGCGTACTGCTTGCCCTATGAGTATAACCTGATTTTCTGACCTGCATCGAGCTTCGGATACCAGTGGGGTCGCATTCCAGTTCCAGTCATTCTAGGCACCAGCCTTCAGGGTTGAATCCCTTCGTTGTTGCGAGGGTCTTTGCGTTAAGTATGTGGTGTAGAGCCGACTCTAAACCCTAAAAAACACCCTGAAAACACTCAGGCCCCAACACCCTAAACCCTGAAAACACCAAACAGATACTGCATGCAGGCAGAGGAGAAGCGATTGCAGGAGGAGTTGCAGAGCCTCAAAATTCAGGTGCAGCTTGAAGGAACAGCCAGCAATAGATCTTACTGTGAGAACCTTAAAGTTCAGAGACTGGCCGAGAGCTTCCGGGGCGATTCGTCTGCGGTTCAGATTCAGAGTTGGCATCTCCCCCGTGGCTTTCTGCTTGAGTTTGAAGAGGCTACATCAAGGAGGCTTCTAGCTTAGACTTTATAGGTTTTGATGTTTCTCAGGATTGTCGCAGACTGGGTTCCTCAAACACGCATCGTTGCTAGCTGCAGGTGGGAAGCCATGACATGCATGACGCGTTCTGTGAAGCATCCATGGGGCAGAGGAGGGAGACTAGGGACCAGCAGCTTGGATTTACGTATTCCGTACATCACATGCTGGACAGAGCAGGGGATTGGGATGTAGGCTCTTGCATCCGAAGCCCTCCTAAGACAACCTTTAAGAACTCGAAGACTGTTGCAGTGGGGCACAAGGCAAGGCGTCAACAGTCTCTGAACAGCAAGCAGCCCAAACTTCTCAGAGTCTGGCGGATCCTCGAAAGCGTCCCAAGCATAGGCCCGTGGTCCCGAGGCCCCAAAAGCTTGGGTACCCGGCAGTCTTTCCATTCAAGCTGGCCGCATGGCCGTGCCCTCCAGACAACGAAGCCGGCCGCACCCCGCAGCCGAGCTCCGGCGCCTGGCAAAGAGAAGGTGCGCACGCGGGAGTGGCGGTAGAGGAATGCACAGTAGCCGTCGTCGTCGTCGTCGTCGTCTCGGAGCTGGTTGTTTGGAGTTTCCTCACAAAGTCTCCGTAACCGCATGCAGAAGAGTCTGGTGTAGACTTCCACACAAATCCTACGAGTAGGACATTGGTTGCTGCAGTGACTGCTTGTTCCGACAAAATACGACATGCTCTGAACTCTTAGAGATCTAGAGAGCTCAGAAGCGCTTGAGGCTTTAAATGGAGCTTCACAGCTTCACTGAGTCAAGTCTCGGTAGGCTCAAACAATCAGAGCTGGGATGCTGAGGAATCACTGAAGAACCATGTTTTTTTGTCCCGGAAGGGGGGCGCAATTCTCAGAAGTCAATACTACCCACAGCAGGTAATTACTCACACCCCATCGGGACCTTGAAAGAGTCTAAGACCGAAAACTGTGCACCCAAAGCCCCAAGGGAACCAAAGCCTCAGCATCAAAACGACACCCCAAGCTTTGCAAGCCTTTACCGCGAGCCGCCGACTCTCCAGATCCTGAAGCCATCTACGTACTCGTACAGCCGATCAGCTGTGGACTCTGTGGACGCCCCCAATAACCCTAAGCGCACGCGACTCAAGGCCAAAGAGTCAGGCAGCAGCTCACTCAGACACCGGCAGGGGGGGGGCATTTGCCATGGTCGTGTTCACCTCAAGCTGGGCCGGTTAATTCTCCGACCCCTTGCGGGTCTGACTTTGGCCTTCGATTCTAGAGGGCTCGGAGTCCTTTCCGCTGGTCTCTCAGACCCCCCCTCCCCGCACGGAACTTGAGATTCGAGATGGAGTCCTGTTCAGGGCTTGCTCGCTGTTTCTGGGTTCTTGTCAAGTATGACAACATACCTGCCGGGTCGATTGGGCACCATCTCTGCGAACCGCTACAGCGCTCCACATTGCTGAACTCATACCCTGAATGCCGACGACAAGCCAGCCCAGCAGTTCACTCGACAGCACCGCTCACGCCCCGAATTGGTCACACCTGTACCAGCCCATCAACAGCGAGGAAACTCTGACCAACCCCTTGAAACTGCAATGCCAACACATACACGTCAGCAATCGCATGCCTTCATGTCCACAGAAGCCGTCTGAGGTGACAGTCCCACGGCCGACAGACCTCCCCCCGAAAGAGCTGGCTCCACCCTCCTGACGGGGGAGGAAGTGGAGGTGTGCGCGCCCTTTGGCCCTCTGGGGAGTATTTTCGGATTCTGAGAGCAGCCATGCTTTGCCTGCAATTCAACAGAGGCGGAGAGGGAGAGAGCGATCGGCAAAGAGGGGCTGGAGATGTCTGGATGGCTAGGGTTGGAATTTCTTGCCAATACCTGCAGTCCGCGCACAGAGCGATGAGCTCGGCAGTTACGGATCCTTGCATAGCTGGAATTCACTGAGTTGTAGCTTATGGGCTGAGCTTTAGTCATCCAGCACTGCATGTAAAGTTGTCGAGTTCAATGCCGCAACACAAGGTCACGTACTGCTAAAGCCCCCGGCAGAATCTGCTGCTTTTGGGAGTTATGCTGTGCTCGTGTGCTACTCAGGTACTCCTCAACTTGCCCAGCATAGTTAAGCAGCCAGACACAGTGTGTGCATGGGCCAAACCAGGCCAAGCCATTTTTGATTCAGAACTCTCCTGTAGCTTAATTATCTAACCGAGCCCGTTGTTTAAGAACTACTTGCCGGACGGAAGCGTTTGTGCAACAGACAACTTGATCTTACAGAAAACGTGTTGAACTCAAAGCATGGTCTAACCAACAAACACTGCCTGTCTAGGAGTCTAGCGAAAAACCATGTCCAACCGAACATGCGTGTGTATCTATGTATATTATGCACACGACTTACTGACCCTTTTCTTCTCTACGCTCGCTAACTGTTGCCCCTAGGCCCTAGCCCTTGAAAGACCCTAAAACCACAACGTGTGTTCCTCGATACGACTCTTGAAACAACAGCCTCTTTTCTCGTGGATGGTTACATCGTCACATGGTAGAGCACGGGGGGAGCCAGGAGTGATGCCTCTGAAGCTTTGACGCGCGGCAGTCGGCCAGAAGCACATGGCAAGTACCAGGCCTCAGGACTGCCCAATCTGACCTCCAGCACACTAGACTAGGCATAACCTGCTAAGTAATTGTCTCTAACATCCACCAACCCCAGGGTCATGTCCATGCAACCGGCAATCGCTGCGCAGCCAGAACTCCATGAAAAACGACCCCTGAAATATTCGGATGCCAAAGCCAGTCCAAACGTCAAGCCAGCACATTGACCTACAACCATGCAGCTCCTGACGCCACCGCACCCTCAGGACGCAACCCTAAAGCAGGAGGAATTCGCAATGCGTTTCACCTTGCGCGGGATCCTTCAGCAACGCTGAGAGCCAGTGCTTGACGAGTTGCGCAAGAGCAAAGCTGCAGAAACACAACTGAGCGGGCAGGGGCTGGGCGGGGAATTTTCTAGTACTCAACAAGAGGAAACATAGTGACATAGTAACAGAGTAATGAGACGCTGGAACAGAAACGCTCATTATCGCGAAGCCACAATCATCACAAAATGTGTTATCTACAGTCGCCATCACCGTTAGTATCATTTCAAGCATAATCGTGGTGACTATCGTCCTCCTGATCCTCCTGCTCCTCCTCCTCCTCCTCCTCCTCCTCCGTTTCTGTATAATCATCATCATCTTCTTCTTCAGCATCACCATCACCAGTCTCATCACCATTCCCACAATCATCAACACCTTCATCATCACCATCTATCTATCTATCTATCTATCTGTCTATCTATCTATCTATCTATCTATCTATCTTCACCATCACGATCGCCATCACCATCATCATCGCCAGAGTCATCATTGTCGTCACGACCTTTGTTGCAGGGTTGATGGATGGCACTCGATGGCAAGTCCCAAGACCTTTGAAGGTTGGACTGGTTCCGCGAGGTCGATTTTCGGGTTTTTCTCAGATCACCGCACCCTGGGTCCAGCTTCTACTGCTCAGCTTTCACCCTCAAGTCCCTTTTTTAGGGCTCCCAAGAGCCGGCTTTTGGCAAAGCCATGGCTGAGCTCGCCATGCTACCTGCGCTGCCGGCACTCCCGGCGCATGCGGTGAGAGCTCCTCCCTGGGCTTCCTACAACACGCGCGTGAGCACGCTCAGGCGGGGGGCAGGTCACAGCAGTAGTGGGGAGAATGATCTGAGAATGACGACGATGATGGTGCGATGTTGTTGCTGTTGTTGGTGATGGTGGTGGTGATGGTGGTGGTGATGGTTATTTGTCGGTTCTGCCTGGCTGCAATCACAGCTGAACCGGAAGCAGAATCTGAGGATTTTCAACCCACTATTCCACGGGTCTTCGACTAGGGTCTCCGAGTGCTGACCTGCTAACAACATCTCTTGCATTTCTGTTTCACATACATACGTCCCCAAAACTGCGAAATCTTGACCAATCACTTTGAACCCGAAGTCCACCGCCAAGCTTCCAACACCTTGAAAGCGAAACCTCCCAAGCAAGACAACCCCGCATGCATCCCCAACCCGACAGCAAAGTCAAAGGTCCATGAAGTCGCGTTTCGGCCACATGGACGGGGAGGCGAGGCTTCTGCAGCCAGTTCCAAGGAAAATGTCTCAAAGGTGCAAAGGCTGGAGGCCCACTTTCAGGGATGATGGCTCGCGATTTGGGGACTTGCAGCTTCCTCGAAGGGTGGGCGAATAAGCAGCAGTCGCTACCAGTAGCATCAAATTATCCCATACTCACCGCCCTCGACGCCAATATGTTCGAAAGTTTCCATGTCCGGACCGTGACACTGAAGAAGTGCTATGGCTAGAAGTGCGCCGAGGTGCACCCCCCTGGCCAGAATCCGGGCTACCACAATCCATGGGTGACCATGCCACATCAGCTCTTCGGCAGACCGAAGCAGGCAATCTTTCCGGCTTCGGAGCTGTCGGAACGGGGGGGGCTCCTGCGGACTTAGGACTTAGTGAACTTCTCAGCCGGTCAGACCTTTTTGCTAAGCCCCACACTCGAGCAATTCCACGTAGAAACTACAGAGCAACCAGAGCCCCGGGCCCCAAACCCAGTGCCTATTCAAGTTGCAAGTTTCAGCCATCAACCCTTCATTGCAGCCTGGTATCCGCCTTTCAGACAGCAAGTTCTACGGCCTGTAAGAAGTAAACGACAAGAATCCTGAGGATTGTCCCGTCGCCCAACACGCCGCAGCTTGGACATGCTTCGATGCACGTCTGGGGCTGGTGATGAGAAAGCCCAAGCTCTGGGACGTTTCTTGTTCTTGCAAGGAACTTTGCGACCCTCAGCTTCACCCCAACGCTTCTTGCGAGTCCTGAAGGCTGTAGCCTAGATGAAAGCCTTCGCAGCTGAGGCAGTACGGAGGCCCCTGGCCAACAGCTCCGCAGATGCAGCTGCCCTCTGGGCCCCGCCAGGGTGCCTGGGTGCAGGCCACGGGCTTTCAGAAAGACTTTCTTATGCGTGCCCATCTGTACCTTTTATGACTGGGGCTTTTTCAACAGTGCAGGAACAGACAATGAATATCCCAGCATCTGGGCCAGATTAGGCCAAAAGCTGAGGAGGCTCAGGAAAACCAAAAAATATTGAAAACATAAGTAAAGCTAAGTGAGTCCATTGGCTCCTGGTCGCATGTGGCAGAAAAAGTTGAGGAGGTGCCTGAGTGGGTCGTAAAAAATAGGGTTACCACTGGGCTGCGGCATTGGTAGCCAAGAGAGTGGTTCCAGAGTTTTTTGATCCTGCCAAAAAAGACTCTACCATCTGAATGCCTGGAAATGGAGCAACAGTACGGAAAACTGCCCGAAAACGAAGAAACCAGCAGGAAACAATGCCTGGAAGATAGAGCGAGAGTATAAACAAGACTGGAGCCTCTCAGAGGCTCAGTAGCGCGCTTTTGAACCATCATGCAGTTAGCCTTCAGATATCAACGTCTCTGCCTGGCAGGTTGAACAATGGAATGATCTCTCATTTGCCTTGCTAGCGTGGATTCTATAAGCAAAAGATTTGTCTTGGAAAATTTTAGTTCCCTTGCTCGTGGTCTGCACGTGAAAAGGTCTCCGCTATAGAGATACAGATGGGCACGCTTGACTTTCAGCCTGCTTGTGGCTTTGAGGCCTTTCATTGCAGGTGTCGATGCAGAGGTGGGGGTTGTTGAAAGTTTTGCTTCCTGACAGGTGCAGTTGCGGAGTGCTGTGGATGCAGAAACTGACACGATTGCGGAGAAGCTGCACACACTGGAGGGCGATCTTCCCTGGATGTACGCCGAGGCGCAGACCCTCTCAAGGCATGCACTCACCCCACGGCTATGTAACTACCTCCTGCGAAAGGCTGCATGACGGCTGATGAGCAGATTCGCAGTTAGACAGCTTGGGCGATGTGAGCAGCACTTGACCAGATTCTGAGAATGCTCACACCCCTGCTGTGCACCTAGCATCAGAATCAGCGTTTTCGCCCAGGTAGATGGCTGGGCCTTGAACTTCTATCCTGAGGCCAAGGGCCCTAGGCCACCCAGGCGCGGGACTTCGGATCTGTGTCAGTTTTTGAAGTAGGACCATCAAGTTTAGTAAGCAAATGATATTGAACTTTAGAGGAAGGGCGGTTCATCTCCTAGCTCGTGGCGAAAGCCCTTCGGCCAGAAGCTTTGAACCCGAGAGCTATAGATCCCTATTACATTATTGCAGCTTAGATTACCCTATTATGTACTATAAGACCCCTATTGTGTATTTTAAGATCCCTATTATGTACTATAAGATCCCTATTATGTACTATAAGAACTATAAGATCCCTAGAGAGGTGTGCCTCCAGTGTCGACCTCCGGTCTTTGCGAAGAGTGGAGGCAGCGCGCCTGCAGGTAGAACCGAACCCATAATTCGTTGGTTCATGCAGTGATACATGTGCGTGCACATATACACACATCTATCTATCTATCTACCTATCTATCTATCTATCTATCTATCTATCTATCTATCTATCTTATGCATACATACATACATACATACATACATACATACATACATACATACATACACCTACATACAGACTAACATATCTGTTATGCACACACACCTATGCATATACATGCGCAGATGCATAGTATACACATGCATGCACATACACGTACATATACACGTGCGCAATCACAAACACATACACATAGACACACACACACACACACGTACACATGCATGCATGCATACATACCTACATACAGAGACAGACAGACAGAGACGGACATACAGACGGACAGGCGGTCACCGATCTGTATGACTCCGTACTAACCTCACCTGCGAATTACAGTGTTCGTTGTTATTTGCGATTCTGAACCCGCAAGCTCAGCACAGGGTTCCGAGTTCGAAGTGCTTGCAGCAGGGTGGATCGGCTACACGGGCCATGTCCAGAGTCCATCGTACGCAGTGACGACTCGGAATCGGGCAATGCCGAGTTCTGGCAGGGTCGACTTAAGCCTACAGCGAAGTGGCTTGCTACCCACCTAGAACGGAGTCATGTCAGCCAGACCCTTTGATGTGCCTTCCGACAGCTGCCAGGTTACGGCGCAGGTCCTGGGACCATTCGTGGTGAGCATGATTCTCGCCTTGTCAGTTGAAGGTGCAGGTATAAAGAATCCGTGGTTGTCGAAGTTCAGGATGTCAAGGGCTAGAGTATCAAGGTCAGGGTTGGTGGTAACAGGAAGGGAGCTGGAGAAAGGTGTCACAGAAGACTGTTTTGGTGCTGGGGAGGGTGGGAGGGAGACATGAACGGGGAGAGAGAGCGAGAGAGACTAAGGGGTTGCACCCCGGGCTGATGACCGTCTTTGCTAGGAGGGTGTTTTCCTCGTCAGCGGCCTTTCCATGTCGGGGCAAATTTGACTCGGGGGCTTTTCCAGAGACTCGTCCCCCCTAATAAATGAGGGGCGCCTGGAGCATGCGGGCGTTTCATCCTGAAGCCACAGAAGCCAGGATCATGGAGCCCGGCACATTCAAGTTCTACACCTACAGCCAAGAAGAGGCAGAGCAGTGGCGTCAAACCCTCACCTCGGCTCCTCACTTGCAAGCATGACATGCGGAGAAGTCGGCATCCTGATCGCCACCCCGATGGCAGAGAGGACCCGAGATTTGTTGGTTTCTGACTTGGCTGAGGTCTTCGTCCAGTTCCGCCAGGTTGAGATCCACCGCCGCGCCTCCCCACCGAAGGCCCGGCCTGTTTCCAGCGCGGCGCCGGGGGTGCCCGCAGGCGCCATGGCCGTGCGGAGGCGAGGGCTCTGCGGGCCAGAGTTCTGAAGTTCTTTGGGTTAGGCGGGCTGAGAGCTTGAGCGATGGCAGGTTTGCCAGGTCACAAGGGAGGGCCAGGCAGAATGGCAGTCTGGAAGGGGTTATCGAAGCTGGGGTCTTCGGTCCACAGTGGTGATCCCTTGAAGGACAGAGGCGCCGTCCTCGAGCCGGAGCCAGGGCCCCCTGAGAGACATCTACGCTTCCTGCATCGAGGCGGGACAGGGCAGCAGAGGTTCAGAGCGGATCAGTCAGCCGCCTGCAAGCAAGTCGAACCTCACGGCCTCGATTCCCAGCTTCGCCAAAGGTGCAAGAGCAATTCCCAGCGCACACAACGTTGAAATCCTCTGGACAGAATAATTTCCACAAAGCTTCTCGCCAACGCTCAGAGTCTCAGAGTCCGAAGCCTCAAGCCTCAACCTTGCCATACCCGGAGGATCCCACCGAAGCCACCCTCAACCCAAAACCCAGAGGCTGTGGTCCAGGGCCAGGCACCAGGACCCGAGCTTTTTGAGTGCATCTTCCAGCTTCTGAGACTCAAATTGGCCCTCCGGTTCTGGGCTTTGGGGCCCTTCATGCTCTCGAAGAGGGTGTGATCCTTCTTTGTATCAGTTTACGTTTTGCGTTGTTCACTGCTGTTCTGCTGTTCAGCAATTGAAAAGTTGGGAAGCTGCATGCTTGGGTCGTCGAAGTTTGGAGAGTGCCTCAGCATCAGGGGGAGATAGAGGTGCAACGGCGTGGATGCCTTCTTTCGTGTTGTCCCTGGGCGGTAGTAACAGGCATTGTTTTGCCATGTTTTGCTCATAGCAATCCGAGGCTATACGATGTCAATGGTGATGGAGATCTGGCATTTGAGGCTCGGGAACCGAAGCGTTCTTGAGCCGCTTTCTCGAAAGTTTTGCAAAGTACAGAGATCCCTTATTCGTCACTCACAGGATCCACTGGCACTCTCATCTTTATCTTGCTGTCCATCTTCACATTTACTGCGCGTGGCTATCAACCTTTGATCATCAACATGTTACTCGGAGCTTCAGGGAGATGTTTTCCACACAGGAGCTACAACAGATGGTGCGCGACCTGCTCCTCGTGCGCAAGGCTGAGGCCCTGCTGACCTAAACGAAGGGAGGAGAGGCCCAAGACCGGATCTAGGAGATTGGAAGAAGCGAGCCTGCTGCTTTTGGTTGTTTCGGATTTCGAGTCACAAATCCAAGCGACGGCAGAGTAGCCTCAAATGCCAAATGCCGATTGGGAGATCCTTAGGATAGAGCTCGCAACAGCGACGAGGCTGTCACCACATCGCCGGTCTGCAGCAACCTGACTACTAGGATCACATAGTCTTAACATGTACGAAAGCCCCAGAAGCCCGTCGAGAACCTGCGCCTGAATCGGGCGACGACCAGTCGTCTTCCAGGTGCAGTGCGCCTTGCAGCGCCGGGATTTGATGACCAAGGCCAGAACTTGAGGACTCTCCAGGGTGTTGTCTTTTAGGTTCTGACGCCCCTCAGGGCTCGTATTGTACAGTCTAGTGAACTTCGAAGAAGACGCAACAAGTCATTTGTTCTGTGGTCTTTCTGTTGCAGAACACGCGGGTCTTTCATCTTCTGGAAGGTCCGAAGCGCGAGGGAAGCTGCTGAAAGCATAGTCCCTCAGGCTCCCAGCCTGACATCGTACAGCCAGAATCAGAAGCCTGAAGGAAAAAGGAGAGAAAAAGGGCACGGCCCTTCCTCCCAGGCCGTCATCCTGGATGCGCATAGCCAGATCACGCTGCGGACTGCCTCCGCAACGATGTCCCGCCTCGGGGAACGCCTACTCTCGGACACTGGGGCATGTCGCGGTTAGGTCTCGTGTCTCCAGCGGTGTGGGTGACGCAGACCTGACAAACTCTTCCATCAGGGTTCACAGATCTGCATCCGGCTTTCCAACTCCTCAATTTCCGAACCCAAATGGGCGTTTGGCTCTTGATTTCCCCTCGACTGCCGAGGCGAAGTAGGCTGAGCATAAAACATGTTTTGGACGAGCTCGGAAGCCTCGCGGTCTTTCTGTACGGGCCTAGATCCGACCTTGATTCCGTCTTGTTACGGCTGCAGGGTTTGGGGATGGTTGTGGTAACGGTACGAGCTTCCTCAGCATCATCAGCATCATGATCTCCGACATGATTCTCGTCACCCCGTGGAAATATGAAGCTCTGTCACGACGGTGGTACCAGGACTACGAGTCGAGGCTGGAGAAAGACGGCTTCGAGTCGAGATGTATCTTGGCCTTGTCAGCTATCTCATATCGCGACGGACAACAGCCAGAAGCAGAATGTTACTAGCAGGAGTGGCAGGAGGAGCAGCAGCAGCGGAACCCCCGTAGCAGCATTAGCTCTGCTTGTTTCGATGATCATCGTGATGATTATTGTTATTCTCCTCCGCTGTCGTCGCCGTCGTCATGTTGCCGGTGCCGAAATTTCTGGAACCTGTCAGAGTAACTGGCAGTCGTAGTGGTAGCATCATGTAGCGATTGGAATAGCGTGATATGCAGCAACGAAACACATGATCAAGGTTACAGCGGAGCCGGTGACTAGTCTAATGCTATGACGTGCCGGCAAACTGTCGTAAAGTAATGTGACGTACCCGACCATCTGCCAGCTGTGCATGGGCTATGACCAAGCCCAGAACCTTAAAATTCCTAAAGCATCCTAAAGCCCTGAAAACTCAAGCCCCGAGGCATTCTACTGCAGTCCCAGCTAGACTTGTCAGCGGATCAGCGAGTGGCGCTGCCGGAGTTTCTGGCGGGAGCACCTCGCATCCTTCTGCCCGAGAGCGAGCTGCGAGCAGAAGCCGTGTTCTTTGAGACCTGCTCCAAGGCCATGAGAATGCAGAAACCTGGCATTTCCTGGCAGCCTGTTTCGTCTGATAATGTAACCTGCAACCAGCAGCTGACTAATCATAACCATAAGCAGATCTTTGCCGCAGAGTATTCTGTCCCGCCGAGGAAAAAGGCAGAGCACCTGACCAAGCCAGCAGGCGGCGAATCCGACGAAGAAGACGAGGGCATTTGTGTCCAGCAGTGATTGCTTTACCCTTCCGACGAAAAAGCTTCGTGGATGCTTCCTAAAGTCTGCTAGATGCTAGATGTTGTCTCGGCTCTCACAGAGCGCCAAAGCAGTCCCAAGTCCAACCCCGGCTTTTCGCCGGTGAAGCTGTTGCAGCATTGCAATTTAACCACGTGGAGGGAGGTCTCAAGTGCTTGGGGTTCTCTTGGCACTGCTCTGTGCCCGAACAGCTTCAGGAAGAGCTTAGGTTAGGGTCGACGGAGGATCATGAAATGTTCAGGCGTTCATTGCTTTGAGGTTTTGCTGTTTTGCATTCCGCTTGAACATTTTGTGTCAAAGCTGCTATAAGGCGACTTCTCGAGATGCAGCGCAGCGGGCAAAGAAACCTTGAAGCCCAGCCTGAAATCTCAAGCTCTCATCATGATACTTCGTTTTTCATCGGACCGCGCCACCTTGGGCTCAAAGTGGCGCTGGCTTGAGAGTTTCGGTTTTAGAGTTCAGGGTGTTTTTCCTTTCGGGTTTTGTTTCCGGTTGCCACTGAAGCCATGCCGACCGACGCCCCAGGACCTCCCTGATGATCCTTTGTGCAAGAAATGACTAAGTAACTCCCAGCGCCAGGGCTTTGTGTTATTTAGTTCCACGAGCGATGTTCTGCTCAGGTATTTTGTTCTGTGCACTATCTGAAGCACTCCGAGTGCAGGCACAGTACTGACGGGGTTGGAGAGAATCGGAGAAACCAATGATGCACACCCAAGTAACTAGATGATGGGTCAAGGGTCAACATGTCAAGACCCTACATCCCAAACTCCGGAATCCCTACGCCCTATAATCATGCGAGGCTCAACCAAACCTGATGGGAGCCACGAGCCCGAGTGTGGTTCGCGCACGATGCGAGTGCGAGTTGAGAAATTTCCGAGAGTCTCGTGTGGAGTTCCTCGTAGCTAAATATCACATTCCAGGACCCAGGAGCGTGGGAAATCCGTCCTAGCTTGCCGTAATAAACCGAAACCTCACCTCTTTCAGCGGGAGCCCTTCGGCCACTGAGCCCAAAACCCAGCACCCCTCAGCGAATTGCTTAGCCTTGGCAGGACAGGCTTTCCTGAAGACCAAGGAGGGCGAAGCGGGCGTCCAAAAGCTTGCCTCGGGCCTCATGTACAAGGCTCAACATGGCTTCGGATTTAGGTCTTAGGCATTACAGAGGAATCCTCTTGCCTGGTATGGCTCTCGGGATTGAGGCTGAGGTTAAGGATCAGGATTTCACGGCTAGTCTAGAAGGAAAGCTATTCTGAAACTTGGACACAGTCTGTCTTGTTTTACCATAGTGGAGCATTCACTTATTGTCTCAAGACTGTAGGGCTGTCTACCAATGACGACCGCAGCAGGATCTATGTGAAGTCTCTAAGTCTTGTCGAGCTGCCAAAACATCCGCGGTCTCTCCTGATCTGGCCTTGGAGCTCACGGATGAGGGCTCTAGATATCAAGGCATCCGCCATGCTGAGCCCTACCGCTAGAGCCTTGCCACCCTGGGTAAAAGACTTCGACTCCAAGCCGTGAATCAGGAGATCTTGCGTGTGTGCGTTTTTAAGTTGAACCTTGTGGGTTTCAAGCCGGAGCGCGCCAAAAAGCCACCATCACCGTCGCTGACACAATGCCTTAAGCTTCGGGTGAAAAACGGTAGTCAGACAAAGCCCAAGGCCACATCCTCCTATGAATGCAAGACGTTGTTAACCTAGATCCACCGACTTCTCACCAGCCGTGGCTTCAAATCCGTGCGCCTCTGACTGACGGCTTTGGAAGTCAGGGATCCAAGCCCCGGAACCTCAGAGTTCCAAAGCCCTGCCATCCTTTGGCTTTTGCGGCTATAGAGTTTCGGGTTTAGGGTTTAGGGTTTAGGGCTTAGGGTTAGTTTAAGGTACCAGCGTGAGGGAACCATAATAAGAGGGGGTTTTGTTGAGCTCGCCTGGGGAGTTCAGAAACTTTCGGCAGGTCTTGGAGACCGGCAGCGGCAAGACTCCGGGGCCCAATACCCCTTGTGCCGCTCCGCAAGCACTCAAGCTTTGGCGGCCATGGGGAATTGAAGGGAAACTTAAGAAACCCAGCATGCTTTCAGATGCTGCACTGATTTTGGATAAGTCCGCGGATGGATAAGCGCTGCAAGAAGCCCGGCGCGGCCCGGGCTGCCCAAAACTACAACCGTATGTCCGCCGTACTTGCATTCGAAGCCAGCTCGGTGGTCCTTGGAATCGGCTTGGGGCTTTCGAGGAGTTTCGAGAGGAGGGCGCGGGGCGACCGCCATCTGAGCGTGCGTGAGACAGAAGAGATGAGATACTGAGGGGTAGAACGCCAGATCAAGTCCCACTTGATTGCATCGTTGAAGATTTATTGTTGCCCTTGTTAATTGTGGCTGTTTTCCTCTTCTTGTCACTCTGCTCCTTCTGCTTCTTCGTTTCGGGCTGCTGCTCTTGTCATACTATGTAGGCCTACCTCGTATGGCACCAGGTCACATCGAGTTGTCTCGTGCCGTCTCCGGGTTCTTGTCAGAGCTCCTTGCCAACTCTCAGGCACATCCACACTTTGCGCAGTGGTCACATGCAGTAGCCGGGCGCCATCAGAAACACCAATAGAGAAATCTCAATGATAGTCTGAATGAATAGAAGAGAGCGAAGTGTGCGTCAACCTGAACTAAGCGACGGCAACAATCGTAAGAGTGCTCACAGGAGCAGTAAATATGGATGCGGCAGGATACGTAAATCGGCTCAGTGCCCAAATAGAGGAAGCAACAATCACAAAGCAGCCGCAACCAAATTCCTGCATGTTTCATTGTCAAGAAAAGCTCAGGACTGTCACTATGCTGGGCAGCTCATCAACGGCCAGCCGCTCACACAGCAATTGGCGTCCGGCATGGGATTCAAGACTGATGCAGTTTCCGGTGTTGAGTGCTACGGGGATTAGAACTTCAACTCTCAAGTCTCCATCTCCTGCCTGCCGGGATCTGCGTTACTCCCATGCTCCCCGGCTGTGATGTGAACAAAATGGTGGTCCATTGAATTCCGAGTCCAATTTCCAGGGGTGGATTTCGGATCGGTCCGGCATCACCTGCAGAACATTTGGACGAGCGTTGGTCATTGCCCCGTGAGTGTGCACAACAAATGGAGGCAAGCTTTCGGAGTGGTGCTGCTAAATGATGCTGTATGCCGCCTTTGGCAGCGAAGCTATGTAACTCTGAGGCAATGAAAATGTCCAAGCTTTGATGCTGTAGTCGCATCCAAGGGAGTTTGATTCGTCGTACAAGCGTGGCAAGCCGCTGACCTTCGCACCTTCACAGGCCATGGGGTTTGGGTGCAGCATGTCTGCAAGCTTTTAAATTGAGTTTACGGCACATGCTACTGCTATTGTGCGTTGTTACTGGGACAGATGTGTAACCTGTCATCCCTGCACACGTGCCACAACCGGCACGAGCACTTGCGCAGGCACAAGCCCCCATCATAACGCCAGCGAGCCTCCAGGTTCGAGTTCGAGCTAAAGATTGCAGAAGCTCTTGGCTGACAACGTCTGCCAATTACAACATGCCAGGATGTTCTTGGATAGTCAGGCGGCAACCCTCGAAAGTACCATCTCAAGCTGCCTTCTCAATGTGTGCATCTGTTGCAGGTGATTCCGGGCTGGACCGAGGCCCCCCTTCAGTATGCGTACGTCGATGCATCGACTCTGCACCATCTGTTGCGCTTCATCTCTGAAATTCAAGTCTATGGGCGCATGAGAGATGCGTCCCAGGGGTTGGCAGACAGCCATCTTCGTCTCTGTTGATCTCTGTTGTTGTGCTCAAGAACCGAAACCAAGTACATCTTAATTGGTCGAGCTCCAATTGGCCACTGCAATCCATGCCATTCCTATCCCTGTTGCTGGCCCGCGGCTCGCATTTCGGAGTTTGCAGTCTGCAGGCCATGCAGCTTATGAAGGAGGGCGACAAGCGCCTCTTCTTGATTTCATGCACCGGGCTCCACTTTGAAGTCCGAAGCGCGGCCACGGCAATGCTGTTTGGAGTGCCGCCAGCACCTTTTCGGAACATCAAATCTGCATTGCAAAACAGAGTCCAAAAAGTTTAACATGTAGATGAAACACATGTTCAAAATCGAGAAACGTTCTTAAACTGTAGAAGGATATATCATAGGTCATTATGTAGTGGATGATGTATTCAGATCTCCCAGCAAGGTGGGAGCTCTACATCCCGTCGGAGCTGGGCTACGGCGCGGAGGGGACTCCCGGAGGCCCTGAGACATTAGAAGAATGAGAAGTCGTAATATCGGGGGGGCCTTGAAAATTACATATACTATTTTGGGGTTTCCTCATTATAACTATAGTATAGTATACCCCCAAACCCTATTCTAAGTATTAAGGTCCCTACATTATTTGGTTCTTTGTCTCATCATTTGGGCACGTGGTGGTTGGCTAGTTTCAAGCGGGCTGTACCCTTTTGTCCGTTTAGTTACATGCCCAGTCGAGGTCGTGTGCTTGTAACGCAGCTGGTGGCTCTTCTCGCACAAGCAACAATACCTATAGTCTCCATTGTAGTTCCTTTTTGGGGGGTACCTTATAAACTCGTTTATATACATATATATATATATACATATGTATATTTGGTTAAACCCAAAACAGGAACTACAATGGAGACTATAGGTAGTAAGTCACTCACTGCAACACTCTGGAGCTGCAGGAGACGGTGTGTTTCGAGGGTTCGAATACCGGAACAGGGGCAATTTTTGAGGTCCACCTCCTGGAAGTTTCGTGCAGGACCTATTCCGCCCAATGCTGCCCTGGTCTTTCAGATGCAGCCTCTCGACTTCGAGGGATGATCTCCTTCAAAGGTTTTCGGGTGCAGGGTTGCTCTGTTTTTTTTTGATCTTGGCTGCGGAGCGCTGAGCACCGGACAGAAAATCGCATCAGAGAAGTCTCTCAACCTGGCAAACCGGCAAGGTTGCTCAAGGTCAAGGGCTGAATACGCCCGCTCGAGGAGGTTC